CAAGTGAATTTGATGATTAAAAAAAGTCAACAAAAAAAAACTTAAAAGTTTTTTCAAGTGCATCATTAGAAGCAATCAAGCCATGTTTCACATCTCCCATACAACAATACTGAAAAACTAAACGATCAAAATGGTTTCACGATTTTAAGATTGAGGACTCTAGATAACAAAAAAATGACTATACATCTACAATGATAAGAGGTGCATATGCTATAACATAACAAAAATGTAAAATACCTCCTTAAACTTCACAAACGAGCCAAAAACACACCAGTTACGGCCTTCAGATGAACAGCTACACAACCAAAATTGGGTAACGAAAGATTTTATACAGAGAAACAAAAAGTTTGAACAAATAAAAAAGTCCTACTCCATAAAAACTTTCTGCATCAAGTGACTGATGCAGTGGCTAAGCAAGCGACTAAATGTGTTGCTGTATCAGATTATTACCTTAGAGGGAAAGTATTGAGACAAATTTATGTATCTTTTATAAGATCTGCACTTTTTAAACCATGCAATTCCAGTTTAAAGTACAAGAACTAAGAGAACGGAGCACATCACTCCTGTTCTTAGATCTCTACACTGGTCACCAGTAGACTACAGAATACACTTCAAAGTGCTACTACTAGTTTATAAATAACTCAATGGGATGGGACCAAAATACATGTCAGATCTCATTCCTGTATATACGCCCAATAGGGCTCTGAGATCCTTAGGAAACCATCAGCTGGTAGAACCTCGGGTCAGAACCAAACATGGTGGAGATGCTTTTAGTTACTATGCTGCTCACACATGGAATCAGCTTCCCCGTGACCACAGATCTGCCCCAACTCTAGGGTTGTTTAAATCAAAACTTAAAACCCTAATGTACTCATCAAACATTTCCTTTTAGCTCTAAATTATAATTTTATCTGTGTATATTTTTAATCTGTGCTCTCGTGTTTGTTGTTGTGCCATTTAATGCAAATCGTAAAGCACATTGAATTGCCCGTGTTTGAAATGTGCTCTATAAATAAAGCTGCCCTGCCTTGTTTTAAGCCTTTTGTAATATCTGGTAGGCTACAAGTTTTAATGTTGCTTTCATGTATTTTTAGTCTGTTTTTATGTATTTGTTTTTAATTTTTTTTGGTTTTTAGTCTGTCGTAATTTATTTATCTTGGTTTATTCTTTTTCATTGTTTCATTTTGTTCTTTGGGAAAACGATAATAAATAAATTAAGTTTAACTTGATTTGTTTTAATGTTGAAATGAAATTTGTTAGCTGCATTTGGGAATATTAGCTACCTATTATATAAATTACTACTGTTTGTTAATCTATCACCATGCGTCTACAGGGCCAACAAAATAACGTTGTTTGAAAAACGGGTGTTTTTCAAAGATTCATTCTTGTTTCTCATCTTTCTCTTCAATCAACACAATGAAAACTGTAAATAAAGAACATTTGGCTCAGATGTCGTATTTCACAGTTCTCTTTTCAGCCCGAACAGTGTCAAATTACTGTAATGCACAAAAACACAACATAAAGAAATAAAGATCACAACAATTACATTTTCATCGTAGATAAAATGAAACCAACAGTTATCACATGCAGAATAACTTCTCTTCAGTTTGTATTGAAGTTTTCTACTGAGTATGTTGAGTAAGGAATTTATAATTTAACATTGATGCATTCATGTGCACTGTAAACAATGGGAGATCTCAAATAAATGCCTTTTGGACAGTGACACTTGTCTTTTGAATCTGTTTTGTTTATTATTTTTACACCTAAATTTGACCCATCTTGCAGTAAGATGTGTGCTTTGTCATAAAAAGGTTCCTCAAAGGTTAAACTTCTGATCCTAAAAGCAGCAGCAAAGACCTGAAACCAATAACCAAATATTCCTTGTTTAACTCACTAAAAATCTAGATGAACAGATAAACCATTAATTTTATTTTATTTTTTCCCGTTATTTTTTTATTTCTGGGCATGCACATAAATTTATTTTTCTTCGGGGTGATCCATTGATTATATTTACCTTTTTTACTGAAATGAGTTAGAAAGTGTGTAAATGAGGTTAATTGACTATAAATTATTATGTCACTCCCCACCACTACTGCCATTGGTGCTGCCCTCCAATTTGATTTTGTATTTATTTTTTGTTACTAACTCTCCATATGAAAAGTTTGAATTTGAGTAGAATAAATTCCATTCTAACATCTAAACAGCAAGTAAATGAATCTTTAAAACGAAAAGATAAAAAAAATAAATAAAAGAAAACCACACGTTTGGCCCAATGATAACTGATTTATGACCTTGTTCTACTCTGGTTAACACACCACCTGTATTTCCCCCTTCGGCGCTCCTCGCTCTAGGTGCGCTCCTGGTCCGCCCCTGCCCTGACGCGGACGCGACGCACCGAGGCGGAAGGAAACCTGATGCTCCGAGCCACGCTAAGCAGACACGCCTCCTTTCTCACACTGCAGACATCAGCAGACACACTAAACTCACAGAAAGGTTGGACGCAACATCACGGACACGCGAACAGGACTTAAACGTGTCTCCCAGCTCTTTATTCTACTAGATTTTTATTCCCACAGCGGGGACTGAATGTGACGTGACGGAACCGGACGAACTATAGCCGGCCGGTAAGTCAGATTTTATCTTCAAGTAGACGAAAGCTGATTTTGTTTTACAAACATATTTTGTCTAAAGGTGACATAAAGGAGCGTACTGGTTAAAACTCTCCTTTCAGGAAGTTTAGGACATAAATATGACACCACCGTCCTATAAATCTTAAAAGTAGGTGTTCCAGGAGTCAGTTCATATTTTAAAATCATTGAATGGAAGTTTAATTCCCAGTTTTCCCAAAGTGAATCCTCAGACCAGCAGAGGACCTAGTGGGGGATCTCAGTAACATGAGCTGTTTAGTTTAATGACTGCTGTCTGCTTTTGGTGCTCGGCCCAATGAAAGAATGCTATGATTACAGGTTTCACCCCAGTTCTCCTTCCACCTACAATAAACAGCTGAAACCCTCAATCAGACCCGCCAGGATCTCATAGCAGCATCATCGTGTGGGTTTCTGTAGTGGAAATCTATTCATGGAAGTTTAAAAGAAAAAAAAAGTTTGCAAGCATCCTTCTTGGCTGCAGGATCCTGGTTGAGGTCGATCCTCTTTAGCAAACAGAAACTGGACAGAAAGTACAACAAACAGGTGTGCTCATTAGCAAGTCATTTCTTTGCAGTTTTGGAAGCACGTGGAAAATTTTCAGTTTGGAGCTGAAAGAGGCAGGAATAATGTTGCCATAACAACGACGTATCCTTTTTAAATTAAACACATTTGACATTTGACGTTTTGTGCGTCGCCATCCTGATTTAGCAGGATGCTCTGGTGCCTTCGAGGTTGGAAATCAGAATCGGAGATTTTTTTTAGTCTGATCGGTCAATCTGAAACTCAGAAATCAGATTTTTGGATGTTGATCTAAAGGCACCATTGGCAAGCAGCAATAAATCAAATCAGACATCTTCCTCTTCCATGTGGCACTTTTTACTAAATAGCTTTGAAGTTTTTAGTTTCCGAACATAAAAAAGTATATTAAAGGTTTTTGAGACAATCAGCAGATCAGATCCGTCTCAAAACCAGAAATGGTGCTTGTTGAGTTGAAATGAAACTGTTGTGATTTCTACTGAACATCCAAAAAACAGACCAAAATCCATCCTGAACCCACAAGTCATCCCTTTTTCAGGCGGACTAAAATAGAGTGCACCTTCAGCTGATGAGTCCCATGTTGTACGCGGGCGAGATCCACAAACGTGGTGATGACAAACAGGCGGGAAGTATGTGGATGTGAGGATGCCCCCGCTCCGCTCTGCTGTTTTCAGTCCAGCCTGCCTCACATCCATCATCATCTCAGCAGCAGCAAACTGTTGACTGCTGGAAGGCTAGAAGATCTTCCAGAACATCAAGCTAAGTTAGCAACTTTCTGGAAATTTGCAACTTGAGTGATGCTCTTTTCTGTCAGTGTAGTTAGCAGAGGTGCGACCAAGTCACTGCTTTGCGAGTCACAAGTAAGTCACAAGTGTTTCCAGTCAAGTCTTGAGTCAAGTGCAAGTCAAAGACAATCAAGTCCAAGTCGAGACCAATTAAAGTCAATGATGTGGAAGTCCAAGTCCTTAACTTTGAAATTTTCAAGTCATAATCAAGTTATCTGTCCAACTTCAATTTAATGACCATGATAATAAATAAATTCCAGAATTAAAGCTTCTTAAAGCTTCATTTATTTGCTCAAACAAGCAGGAAGTGCAACTGAAACTGATTATAAACAAAGTGCTGCTGCATTTAGCAGTTCAAGATCAAACCAGAACGAAGAACGATTCATGACTTTTGTCCATGTCAAATATGCTCAAGTCATCATCTAGTCAACAGATGCAAGTTGATTCAAGTCTCAAGTCATCAGCGTTCAAGTCCGAGTCAAGTCATACGTCTTTATAGATTTGATCAAGTCAAGTCAGAAGTCATTAAAATAACGACTCGAGTCTGACTCGAGGCCAAGTCATGTGACTCGAGTCCACACCTCTGGTAGTTAGTTAATGAAGAGTCCGGCAGCTACTTTCTCTCTAAAAAGGCCTTTTCGCTTTTAAATCAGCTTCATCTTGTTTCACACGTTGCTGCCGGCAGCTTCCGCTGGTTCCTGAAGTGTCTAAAGGGGTTTCTAATGGAGCCTGCTACATTTCAGAAACCAAACGATGACAGTTGCTGTGGCTTTTCTGAAATAGAGAGCTGGGGGGCGGGGGGTCTCAGGGGCACATAAAGATAGCAAATGTGATTCCAGCTGCCTCTGCGGCCTCCCATCTTAATGATGGGTCGGCTGATTTAGCCGAGAGATTCTCCTCAAAAGGCTTTGCGCGACGGATCGAGTTTCAGGTCCATTGTTGACGTCGAGAGCTGTTTTCTGCTGAAATAAACAGCTGATGGGGATTATACAGCTGTCATGTGCTCAGAGGGGGTAGGGTGCTCGGGATGGGGTGTCTTGAATATGTGTCAAAGTGTGTCTGAGGTCATCTTTCAGATTAGTCTTGTTTCTCGTTGAATACATCTTTGATCTCTGTAACTTTTGTTTCATTTGATTTGAATCCAAACTTTGCAGACCTGCTTTTCCAGTTTTGCATGTGTTCCCATCAATTCTGCACTCTTCCTGTTTGGTTTCTTTTCTGTTTCAGGGCTCGTTAAAAATTACGGAAGCTCATATTTAAATGTGAAAGATCTATACAGTGACATGCATATACTAAAGAAAAGATATTCAGGGTAAAATTAGATCAGGTACCAGGATGTTTCTTTAATTATACAAGGAAAATATTAGTTCAGTGAAAAGGGAAAAGACTCAAATTTGCATCCTTTTTCATCCATCCATTTTCTGTCAGTAAATGGTTTTAAGAATTATGAACCTAAAACAAGCCATTTCAAAAAAATTCCTTTTGTGATGTCACATATGGGGAAATTAACATGGAACCATCTCTGATACGCAAGAGAGAGCTGAGTGACCAGCAGCTCTACTCCGAGCCCCTCCCGAGTATCAGAGCTTCTCAGATTATTGATCATTTGCACCTACATCACCTGATAACGTGGGTCCACCATTGTGGACATCAGCAGTGAATTACAGGAGTGTTGAACAAAGGGCTAAAGTGGTGACTGAGAGAGCTTTTTACTAGTTTAAGGGTAGTTTATACTTCTCCGTCTGCATTGTATGGAGTCACGCAACGCCTTTATCCATCGTTGCAAAGGTTCTCCAACAGGCTCGCAATAACGGACGAAGTAGAGCCCACCTTTCTGAACATCCGTCGAAAGCAACAGAGCTTGTGATTGGTCAGGATGCAGCTTCCATTAACTTCGTAAACAGCAACCTTCCCCCTCAAAAAATAAAAAGAGAGCGAAACATACTGTATGTAGCGAAGAACACGGAGCAGACTGAAGAACGCCTTGTGGAAAAAGTGCGATAATATTAACGTTAATACACCTGCGACTGAAGGAGTACAAAAATATGCAGCAAACTTTATTCATGTCAGGAAGTTGCGTGAAACGCGAGTTTAGAGGTGGAGACTGGATGAAGAAGTGGAGGACAAATTTGTCCGTGTTAAAATGTCTCTGAAATACATACCGGTAAACACAATATAAACATTGGAGATGTAGCTGCATTGATGGCAGGACAACCCAGAAAAGCGCTACGCTCTCTGCTGTCCTGGCAGAGAATTTCTTCATAACACTGACGCACCAACCAAAGAGTACATCACTACGTGTGTGGGTGAGTGAAAACCAGCTAACAAAGAAGGCTAAACGTAGCCTTTCTTCTACTAGTTCAGTCAGTTTCTTTTTTGAAGAAGTAGTGCACCAGCTTCACCATAGTGTCTGTTAATGCAGCCAACTGCTTAGCAAACGATTTCCATTTTACTGTGAAATCAGCAAAATAAAAGCAGTATAATGCTACAAGCTAGCTTGTTTTGGACAAGCTCAATGGAGTGTTAATGGATGTAAATGGTTCCTTTGACATCTGTCGTGGCGAAAGAGGCTTTCCCATGAGTCGTGTGACATCACGTGTAAAGGGTCCGTAGCAGCCTGAGAGGGGGATGGGTGGGCCTGGCCAGCAACAGTTTGTCTTCTTAAAGTGACAGAGCCCTTAAAAGGCTCATTTTGGAAGGTACTGAAATTGTCAAGAATAAAACTGCTGAAATTGCTTTATGTGAGAAGGATTTAGTGCAAAGAGCTCCATGAACATGTTTAGTATCGACCATAGAACTATTATAACTTAAGGGAAAAAGTCATAGTATATCCCCTTTAAGTGACCTGAAGATTACCTCACCAAAGCAAATGAGGCTGACGAAGAGGCACATTTGTGGTAACATCAGGGTTTGGATACAAGGAAGAAACAACCAAACAAACAGAGGACAACGTGTTACTGACAAAAATTTTCCCAGAGGAACAGTAAGATGTGTGTTTACATTAGAGTAGATGTGTGTCAGTAGGCTTGTTGGTGTGTGGAGGCACAGTGAGTGATTAAAGACCAGGCCTGCCACCAGCTTTCCGAGAGGCTCAAATCTCATTAATTACGCTGCCGACCACACGGCTAGGAGCAGCTGCAGCTGGTTATCGATCCACCAATAGGTCGGAGCTTTTCACTTCCACTATCTGCTGCAGGAACAAAGCTCCACTCAAAAGCTCCGTGCTCGTCTCACGTGTAAATTCTGCTACTATCGGATTCTGGTACTGAAACAGTCATAAAGGTTTTACAGCACTAGCCAAGCTTTGCATGCTGCAGCTGTTCTGTGGACAGTTTTCCACCAAATGCTCATTCAGAAGTTTCAAGGTCGCTATTTCCAGATCTGTGAAAATAGCTGAGACACAGGTGGGTTTTGTTACAGCCTCTTCAACTTTATTTAAAGTCATTTACTGCAATTTAACTAAAGGGCTGAATTCAATCCTCCGTGTTTGTAAAACATGTACATGAGCTATATATGTAATAGGGATGTGAGAACTAATAGATGCATGTTGATTTTATTTATTATTAATTATTTGCAAACATGTTTGTGCACAAAGTGTTTGGTAGAATAACCGTACATTGATGAAGTTTTGAGTTTAAACATAGCTACATCGGTTTATTATGTGTTTGTACCAATTTAAAATGTGACCCATTGAAGAGTTGCATAGAGTATCTGCAAGTAATTTTATTTTTTTCAAGCTTCTGCTGTAAAAATACCAATAAAAAATACATGGTTATGTTTGTTTGAAGATTGGATTTCCTGCAGACCAGGGCCCACAACCATCAGGACAAGGTTCCAGTACAGTTCAGTATGTTTTAACCCTTTAGTAGCCTTTCATTAGTCAACTCTTCCTCCGCTGCCATTTCTGCTGTATAGTTTTATCATTAGTGACACCTACTGTCCAAAAGGAAAACTGCAGCAGCACCACTTAAAGGGATTAGGGATGGACAATATATCGGCATCAATATCGGTATCGGTTTGATATTAACAACCGATATTTTTTCCATCGTCTCCATTTATTTGCCTGTTTCAGAGGGTGGTGGTGGTGGGGGTGGGGGGTGGGGTGTGTGTGTGTGTAATTGTTTAGTCATGTGAACAGTGAATGAAATCATCTCAAAACCGTGAATGTGTGTGTTGTGTGTACATAATAACGTAAATTCAGCTTTAATAATTTTCATTCTATTCTAAATCTGCTGATATTAGAAGCATTAATGTCAGTTTATCGGTATCGGCAAATATCGGTTATCGGCCACAACAGGGATCTTAATATCGGATATCGGTATCAGCCCAAAAATTTCATGTCTGTGCATCACTAAAAGGGATACTTTGCAACTTTTTCATATTTTTTAACCATTTTCTTGAGCCAGTATGTGCTAAAGTGACTCTTTACAAAGTTGACGAAAGGCCACCTGCCCCTATCGCCCCCTGTGGCCAGAATATTCCACTTGCAACTTCAGAGTTGCCGGTTCGGTCTGTTGGGACAAAAATGGAGCTGACATACCTGGCACTGCTGTCTGCTTCCAGCACGTTTCCTGCATGTTTTAGATCATGAACACTCCTGATTTGTTTAATTTAGTGATAAATCACTCCTGTAAACACTAATGAAGAATGGAGAGAAAATTCAGCTGTTAGATTAAGGTGTTAAGACAAACGCACATCAAGGAGATAAGTTTTGCTTTCAGTTCTACAAAAGGACACTAGGGGGTGCTAAAAGAAAGCCAAAACTGCGTAGTTTCCCACTAAAATGAGCACCGAACGCTCTGAAAGTGTTCTCCGCCTTCATTTTTTGTACGTACTTCTATTTTAGGAAAAAAATTACATGGTTTATATTTATAACCTGAATAAAACCAGAGATGCATCGATAAGCTGGTTTGTGATCCTAATAAGCCGTTATTCAGCATGATCGACTTAATCAGTGATCCGCCAATCTGAAGCTCAAAAATAATTTTTTTTCCATAATCCATGAACACACGGTTGCAAAGTAACAATAGAAATTAGTAAATGTTTCCTGGCCTGTGAACTCACCATTATTCATTCCTTGTTGGCATTAACAATAACAGAACATGTGGATGTTTTTTTCTTCCAGAAGATTTTTCAAGTTAATCAAAAACTTACTCGTTATGAGATCAATTGAATTTATAAAAAACATTCAAAAATCAGCCCTGAAAACTGGAATTTGTTCATTTTTTTGTAAAAAATAAATAAATAAATAAAATTTATCAAAAATCTATTTGCTGCTGAACAACTAAGAGGTTTAAACAGCAAATGTTTTGTAGTTAATCCTTTTAAACTTCCAGACCAGATAAGCACAACCCTGATATACCTTTGTTTATGCCCGCACGAGATTCTGGCTATTAAAAAAATGAGTTTTACAATATTATATTTAGGAAGTTTCTTTCACAGATTACTGGGTTCACCCTTTGGCCACATCTAAGTGCCCAGTCATGACGTTTGCACATAAGCTTTAGTGGCCATTTTTTGAGGCCTCCCCTCAGGAAATGACTCCCTAAGAGCCAAAAACAAGAGTGGAAACTCCAGCGAGCTCAACGTGGAGACATCAGGACTTTTCCAGGATCATCCTGTGACTGTGTGGGATGCTCTGGAAATCCCTGTCACGCGTACTCTTCAGTTTCCTCCCTCCAACGTCCCCGAAGATGACTGAAATAAAAGAGATCAATTACTTGATCCTCTGGCTTTGACGTACTCCAAGGATCATTTAACGAAAACAATGCAACGTTAATGTCAGCAGGGACCGTTGTCTGATTTTAGTTGGTGACGGTTCAGTCGTCAGGTCATGGTAATTCAAAGGGGTTTGAATGAAGGCAGCTGGACTTCTTTGGTTTCTTGAAGACATTTTGCTTCTAATCCAAGGAGCTTTGTCAGTTCTGACTGGAATATAGGAGGGTTGTTGCTTAATGAGCAGAAACTACATATGAATACCCCTTCTCCCTACTCCCTGAGTAGTTGTTGGAGTCGTTAGGCTTTATTGTGTGTGAATGGTTGTATTGATTAGATGCAGAAGGGCATGATCTAGACTGAAACTGTTTTGCTAAAGCTGCATTTTTAGGTTCCTGCATTTCATCAAAACCATCCCCACACAATAGAGGCCAGCTGTGTGCAGAGAACATGAAGCCAAAGCAAATGACTACCTGCAGGCAAATATTCTTTGGTGTAACCGTGAGACACTGTCCTATTTATCTAGCGATGGATGAGTTTAAACGTTTACTTTAACCTTGGGAAGTTTAGGTTTAACAGTAATGGCTGAGAACAGAGAGCTTCTGTATAATTTGTCACGCTGTTTGTCCAGCCTTCTTTTATTTGAGCTCATTTTAGCTCTGACACTTGCTGTAGTCCAGTTAGTGGTTTTCATTCAGATTAAATGAGTAAAACATTTAAACAAGCACAGGACAAATCTGTGTTTGATATTCAAACATGACCAAATAGCAAAGAAATTATGATAAATTGAGCAAAACTATACATGCTTTATTTTCTTCTTGTTGTTAAAATCTGCTGCATGATTTACATTTTTTTAAATCAACTAGTTGAGCAGTCGTGTGGCTGGTAGAAGACGACCCTGTATGCAAATGATCAGCGACTAAATAAAAGGATGCCCTCTGCTACTCGCCACCTTCTTCTTTTCCACAGCTGTTGTGTTCTTCACTGTGGAAATCTATGTCAGATGCTTTATGCTGGTTTTATATTCCTGGGATTATGTTGAAGCTTCAGATTATTATCTACCCTATTCAGCCAGAGGGCTGAAAGACACCTGTTTTCCTGCACCAACAACGCTAACCCGTCATACTTTTGTGTGACAGTTTGAGGTGGGCTGAGCGCAGGGATGTCTAGATCCACAAAGTCCAACTCGAGATCCCGGAGTCGTTCCAGATCCAGATCCCGATCAAGATCCCGTTCTTCTTCCCAATCCAGGAGTCGCTCCCGGTCCAGGAAGCATCGCTACAGGTAGGAAGGATCTTGTTTTGCTCGGATCAGATTAGAATCAATTCAAAAAATTCTTTATGTCACTTAAAGTTTCACAAATGGAAGTGATAGGATGCTTCAGGGTGCACAGATGGTCGTTTTCTGATGCGTTGGTGCGTTTTTTTAAAACAATTTGCTGCATTAAATGTGAAATGCATGGATGAAAACAACATATTTATGTTTAAGAATGCCAATAAGCTTGCGCATCATTAGCTTTTCTTGTGATCTTCTGATTGACCCCTGCATGACCTTGTTTCCTTTAATCTTTCATGAGCTGAAGCAGGACGTGAGTCGGACTCAGCCTAGGAGGAAATGAACGCTAGAGAGAGGGTTTAGGGTGAAGCAGGCAACATTAGTGGGTTCCTTAGTGTTGGAAAACTTTAGAGAAGTCCTTAATGAGAGAAAAATATCAAAATATTTTTCAAGCCTTGAATGAAGAAGGCAGCATTCGTCTCGGCTGCTTTGGCTGTGAAGCTGCCTTGGAAAGGGTGGAATGTGTCTGGGAACAGAACAGCGACGCTTTTTTATTTAATTTTTTGCTGCTTTTGACTGAACCGCTGTAATAAAACACACCGTGGGTCACTTCCTGGCTCCTCGTATGAAAATTAGACGAGATAAAATGTAAAATTATCTTTGTTTGCTATTGGAAAGACTATAAAAAAGACGTGGATGGAATCGAGTGGTTTACTTGTCATGAAAATAACCTTTTGTATAAATGCAATTTTATAGCGATCCACGTCAGAACAGAAAAACAAACACGTTTTGCTTGAATCTGAATGAACAAGCATTTGCACGAAGAAAAAAGCTATTATTCCACAGAAACACGGGAAAAAGTTGCATTATTCTGCAGAAAATAAACAAGGAACCCCAGAAAGTTGATGTGTTTTTGCTGTTTGTAGAAATTCAGGCCTTTGCATGTATTTTTAAAACTATTCCTTCCCACTGTCTCATGCATATAGCAGCCAATTATCTCAGTGATTAAATATACCAGTCTTCAGAGGTCAACGTAAAAAGTTGAAATCGGTGTCTAAACCAGTTTCTGAATGCTCTTTAATCTGGCAGAGACAACTGTGTGAGTGGCAAACATTGAGTCAAAAGGATTTTTTTATTTTTTTCTGCCTTCAAATGGTTCATGTGACTCTGTGCTCCACCACAGCTGTCCAGAGTATCTGTAGCTTGTGCTGTGAGTAAGCAGTGCTGCTCGGTGCGCTGCAGTCGCTCGGTTTTCCAATGAAAACACACGCCGGGTGAGTTACGTGCTTTTATATGGATTTAAACTGTTACTTTCGTGTGCTATGGTACTGTTTTGCTCCATCGGTGTGATAAAGTGTTCTAGAGAATTATGCATGCAGTGTGAAACAGTCAAACATCAGCAGGAGTACTTCATGCACAGATAATAGAAAACGAAGCGGTTTGATGTCTGCAGAAAATCCGAAACACCAAATTTAAAATTATATCGTTGCAGAGTTAAAATGTGCATCCAGTTTAAGTTTGGTTTCCTACTTTAAACAGTGAAGAGATAAAACTTGTTAAATGTTCTGCTGAAACCTAGGAGTATCAGAGGTGCAACAGAGCCCCCATGTGGACATGCCGGAAACTGCAGCCTGGCCGAGAGAGCCTATAAAATCCGTTTTTATCCTCTCGCTGCTCCTTTGTGGGTCAACCTCTACATGCAAAAGCACATGTTATATACAAACATATGCTTTATCGCTTTTGAGTGATGTACAGCCACTGGAAACAGCTGATTTAGTGCTTTTGTTTTATTATAGGTGTTTCATATGTTAGAGCTATAAATTCTGGAGCCTGTTAAACGAGTTTATTGAGGATTTTTTTAATAGAATCCTTTTGCTTTACGTGAGTTTTTATTCCAAAATGCATTTGTCCTCATAACATTGATTAAATTTTTTAAAGAAAGCATCAGTCTATTTTTTTTTAAGTTTTTTTTTGCACAGTTTCCATGTTAGTTGGCCAGCATAACAGAAAACTACATCTGACCAACAAATAGGTGAAAATTTAAAGGAAAAACCATGAAACTTAGTGATGGTTATTCGTGTCTTTGAAGCTGCTCTTGGGAAATGGAACAGTCATCAAAACCATATGACCTCAGTTGGTGTTTTCCTGACAGCGGTGGTGAAGACATGGGTCATCAACATAACATAATCAGCAGCCAGGAGTTTTCCTAACCAGACAACTCAGAGGCCACCCGTCGTTTTTGCAGTCGTGAAAGATTTTTGTTGCCTTGCTTTAGTTTTTCTAAGTTATCCACATTTGTTCTTTTCTTCAGTGGTTAAAGACTAAGTTCACACCTTTTATTTTAACGCAATTACAGTGGTCTCTAGTGTAAATGAATGCCTCGTGAGGGCCTCTGGCGCTCCTGTTTCAGGAAGTAGAATTTAGCCAAAGGAGAGGTGATCAGAACACGGCCGGTTTTGAGTCTTATTTCCTGATTTTCGGACATCTTGCCTCTGATTGGCTAACAGCAACAGGACTCTACCACTGACTCCATTTCCTTAGCAACTTTGATTTTTTTTATCACCACAAATAACACAAGCCTGAAGGAGTTAATCTGTTGTGGTGTTGCTAATGCTAATGATCAGCATTTACTAGCCAAGATGTACTCTGCTCTCTCCTGGATGCTAAATCGACAACAGCCTTCCTCGTTGCGAGCCGAGATGAGTCCGTGAATGCAAATGTAACACTGTGACATGCATTCAACTAGCTTTTAGAATCCAAACGTTTTCCCGTCTATTTTCTATCAGCAGCTAATGCAGGAAATAGGGGTAGAAGACTATTTTTACGTTTAGCCTGCGTGTGAAACTCAGAGTGACAGGTCATTGTTCATAAATAACAAGTTTCTTAGTGACCTCGGTCTTTAACACACCAGCAGCTCACTCCTGCTGCAGCTGCAAAATAACTTCATGGGAAAATTAAGAGCGGCACAAGGCCAAAATGATTATTATTAACTCTAGCCCTTTTACAGCAGGTTTATGAACGCTGCCATGTTGTATTTTTGGAGCCAGAGTCGGCTCACTTGGAATATTGGGCTGAAAGTCCCACTTACCCTCCCACACCGTCGTGGTGTTTACTGGGAACATTGTAGGGTATTTTGGCTCTTTTTTGGGATACCATCAACCCACACATTTACCTGTGTTGCCCATGGATGCACAATCGGTACTAGTTGTTCCTCTCAGTAAAGGTGACTCTTCGGGTTTTGCAACATGGGAGAAATTTTGGACGAGTTGTTCTGAAACTGCCATCTCGTTACTGGGACGCTGGTGCAATGACAAATAAAGCTTCTTGTATCTTGTATTTAATGACAAGAAGCGTCGTCCCAGCACCAAAAAAACAACTTATATACTTACTTTTCCAAATGTATGTGTTCCGTTCTTAGGACGTAGCTAGCTTGTATTTTGCATACTCTATCTGACTGAAACCACTCAGTGACCTTCTGTGTGGACATAATTCATGCAAATATTGTCCTAATATCATAAATTTACCAAATTCTGTCACTGCAAAAGTCAAAGATTGAGCTTCCCCCCATTTTTGTCCAAGTCCGTTTTGAAATTTCACCAAATTTTGTCCCCCCCCCCCCCCCCCCCCCTTATTCTCTTTAACAGCTCTAGGTCTCGGTCAAGATCTCATTCTCCATATTACAACCGAGAGAAGAAGTATCCCAAATCGTACCAGAACAGCCGGGAGTTCCGGGGGTATAACCGCGGCTTCCGGAGGCCCTATAATTTCCGTGGCCGAGGAAGGGGCCAGTTTCATCGTGGACGCTACCAACGCGGTGGCGGCTATTACAACAACAACAACAACAACAACAACAACTTTCGGCCAAACTGGAAGAATTACAGACAACATTCTCAGAAATACCAGCAGCAGCAGCAGTTCAACCACTCGCGTGGACGATGGAACAATCAGCAGAAATGCTCAGGGAGCCCCCCTCAGGGACCCTCACAGCACTCCGACAGGTCCTCATCGCCTTTATCCAGACACTCGCATCATTCTTCCTCCTCCTCACACTCCCCTTCTCCAAAACGCAGGCCAGCCTCGCTGCTGGTGAATCAAAACTCTAAAGATGTCAGCGAGCAGCATCTGGCCTCCAAGGAGGTCGAAACGGGAGGAGTCGGGGGCGGCGAGGAGGAGTCGGTGGAGCATGTTGGGGTGTTGGCAGGAGATGCTAGAGAAGGTGCAGACTGTGGGAAAACTGAGAGGACCTGGCAGAGACTGACGGACTGCAGCAGTCCAAAGAAAAGCAGCCCTGCTATTATTGTTGGTCAGAGCGGCCAAACTCCCACTCAGTCTAGTCCCACTAAAACCTCTAATGACATGAGCAATGGCTCCATCTTGTGGGAGAAGGTGTCTGGTTCATCCTCAACCAAAAAACCCTCCAATGAAGGTCTGAACCCGATGCTGTCCAGCTTTGACATCTTCTCCTCTGAGGAAATCCTGGATGGAGACAAAACGGCAATCTCCATTGCCTTCAAGAAGTGAGACCAAGAGCCTCTGCTTGCGTTTTCTCTTAAACCACACAGTGATGTTATGTTTTCTTTAATCTTTTGTTTTTGTTCCTAAGGTTCCTGGAGGAGCAAAAGAGAAAAGCTAAATGTGTTAATCAAAATGACAAGAGCGTGGAGGCAAACGACGCAGATTCTGAAATGGAAAAACGAAACGGGAAAGCCTCGGCGCTAGCCTCCGAGTCTGTGTCCAAAAGGCACAAGGAGAACTCTGAGAGCGGAGTTTCTCTGAGCAGCTTTTTGAAAGCCTCCCCGTTTTCATCTGCTGAGGTGGAGGAAGACGATGAGGTGGCCTTCAAACACTCAAAGTCACTTTACAAAGAGTGGCATAATGGTGATGAGTCCTTAAAACCAAAAAGCAAGGTCACCCATTCAGCCCAGAAGCTGTTTGAGGAATGCTTCAGCAGGTGGCAGAATGCAGCCTACACACAGTTTGCCCTTGGTGACCTTGGAGAGACCTATCTGAGTGGAAAGCAGGATAAAGCCACTGCTGCTGCCCTCGCTAAGAAAGAATCGGAGGGAAAATTTACCGACTTGTTCCCAGAAATTAGCTGTAAAATAAAAAAGACGGTTAAATCTCCGTCTGGCGCTTCATCTGAACCGCCGCTGAGACGAAACTCCGACAGAGAGTTGTTTACAGTCAGAGGGGAGGATGAGCCGTTCGCGCCTTCAAGAAAACGGGATGCAAAACCGAATGTCAGGATGGATTTTCTTGGAGATGGTCTGATAAGGTGAGCATGACTAGATGGACCTAATGATTCATTTTCATTGTTCTCTAAAGCTCCGTTTCTCTAAAAGTTGCAGCATGTGTGAAGTGTAATCTAAAACACAATGCAAATGTCTGTAAATTACTGAAGCCCTGAGCTTCTTTGAAGCTGGAACAACCGTGTAGGGTTACTTTTAAGACGTCTAACTGATGTACAGTGCAGCAAACAAGGTTTGAATCCATGATTTCATTTATAATCCAAACCAACCTGGTCTGATGTGAAATAAGGGTAATTGGTGAAAAAAAGTGAAGAAGTACCAAAACGTTGGCTAAACGATCTCAAAAAGCAACACACCTTGACCCGAACAAAGAATCCGGAACACCATCTAAACCACGTCAGGCCTCAGTTGGTTAAGGTCAAGGTCAGAGGTCATGATTCAACAACAAGAAAGAGAAAAGAGGTGAATAAATGGCACCAATGAGGGAGTTTTAAGCAGTGGCGCCCCTAAGGAAAAATGGTGGCCACCCCACTGGCCTCATCTGGCCACCCTTATGGAAATTTTCTGGGGGCACCACTGGTTTCAAGGCCAAAACATTACAAAGACACATCTGGACTCACGAGTAAAAGGTGGAACTATCTGAAAGGTTTGTGTCTCGTTCCATCTGGTTTAAAACTAACACAACATTTCAGGAAAAAACAAAACTAACAATTAAACATGGTGGTGGTAGTGTTATGGTTTGGGGCTGCTTTGCTGTTTCAGGAGCTTTGACCCTAAATATGTTGGAAAACCCTCCAGTCAGGCTGAATTAAAATAATTTTGTAAAGAAAAGTGGTAGAGAACTCCTTCACGGCGATGTCAGGGACTCACAATTAGTTAACACAAAGGCTTGATTAAAGTTTTTACCTCCGAAATGTTGCAACACATTCTGGCTGATCTTAACGACTTGTGTTTTAAATATTTTTTTTTACACTTTACACAGTGTCCCATCTTTTAAGGAAACCGGCTTCGTCTTCTGATTTCTTGGCTTTCTCTCCAAAGACACTGAAGACTGTGTTTTTATCATTTCAGCTCTTCACATATTTTAGCTGAGGAGCGGCAGCTGTCTCAGGACCTTGTTCAGTCCTCAAAAAAACAGCAGGAATTTCGCTCCATCTTTCAGCACGTTCAGGCTGCTCAGCCACAGAAAAGCCCCTCTGAGCTTTTCGCTCAACACATTGTTGCCCTTGTGCACCACGTCAAAGGTGAGTAACGTGTGTGTTCTGAGATGCAGGAGTTTGCTGGTGCAGAGGTGGGCTGAAAACAGCACCTCACTTCTGATTGGCTAACAGAATGTGTTCAGCCATATTGCAAAGTCACTATCATCAAGACACTCTCCGCTCTCTCCCCTTGCTGAAAAAAAAACCTTCCTTTGGGTGGGCGTGAGCCAAGATGGTCGAGGCCATGAATGCAAATTCACGGTGGGACAGTGTGACATCACAGTGAATGGATTTTCAAATCCTAGCATTTCACCATCTATTTTCTATCAGAAGCTAATGCAGGAGATGGGTGTAGAAGTCTGTTTCATGTTCAGCCTGCATGAAAACCCCAGAGTGACCAATTATAATCATAAATAATGATTAGTATGAACAATTCCAATCTGGTTTCAGACCACAACACAGCACGGAGACAGCACTAGTAAAAATCAAAAATGATCTCCTAATGGCAGCAGACTCAGGCCATCTCTCCATTCTGGTTTTACTAGATCTAAGTGTTGCATTTGACACCATTTCTCATGACATACTTCTCAAAAGATTAGCATCTATCGGCATTAGTCACACATTCCTAGCCTGGTTCACCTCATACATATCGGATCGTACTCAGTTCATTCAACTTCAATCTCAGTCTCCTAGTTCTTCCCCGGTTACTGCAGGCATTCCCCAAGGCTCAGTTCTAGGCCCTCTTTTATTTATCATCTATTTGCTCCCCCTTGGGTACATTTTCCGCAAATACAACATTGATTTTCACTGTTATGCTGATGACACCCAGCTGTACATTTTGTCCTATCCAAATGCATCCCTTCCACCAATCTCCCTCTCTAACTGTCCATCTGAAATTAGATCTTGGCTCTCTCAGAACCTACTTAAACTAAACAGCAATAAAACGGAACTCCTACTCATTGGCACCGCTTCTGTTTAAAAAAATTCTCCCAACTTCTCTATCAATATTGACGACTCCACAGTTCACCCATCCTTACAGGTAAAAAGTCTTGGTGTCATACTAGATGGTACACTTTCATTCCAATCTCACATTAACCATGTTACTCGAGTCGCATATTACCATCTTCGCAATATCAACAGACTCCGTCCTTTTCTCACGCCTCATGCGGCTGCAATCCTCGTTCATAGTCTCATCACCTCTCACGTTGACTACTGTAATTCCCTTCTATTTGGTCTCCCAACTAAATCCCTTCATAAACTCCAACTTCTCCAGAACTCTGCAGCACGCATCATTACTGGGACCCCCTCAAGAAATCACATCACTCCTGTTCTTAAAAACCTACACTGGTTGCCAATAAAAACCAGGATCATATACTACTTACATTTAAATCTGTGCATAGCATGGCTCCACTTTATCTATGTAATTTACTAACTATTGCAACCACTTCCCGATCTCTTAGATCTTCATCTGCACTTCATTTGGTTCAACGTCAAGCTCGCCTTACCACCATGGGGAGCAGAGCTCTTTTCCATTATTCAAGGCACACCTCAAAACCCACTTATTGAAACAAGTTTATTCCCTTTAGACCTAGACTTTAGAATTGTTTCAAATTGTTATGTATCTTTTTTGTTCTTATTGTCCTATCTAATCTCTGTTGTTTTTTGTTTTTATCTTTGTAAGGTGACCTTGGGTTTGAGAAAGGCGCCCTCAAATAAAATGTATTATTATTATTATTATTATTATTAAAAAAAGTTTTTTTAGTCAACTACACCTTTTAAAGAATAAGTTCACAGAGAAACATTAAATACTTTTTCTATATGAAATATAATCGGTCACACAACATGGTACAACAGGTTCAGGTTCGTGTTATTTGTGGAGATAACACGTCAAAATTACACTTTTTACCCTAAAATATAGGAGGCAGCATCAAAGTCACGTTGCTTTTAGCCAATCAGAAGCAGGTGTTTGGATATGAATATTAATGAGTAAGACTTGAAATCCTGCTGTTTTTCTCCCCCATTCACATGACAGAGCTATAGCAGTAAAAATGCAACATTTGTGGCTGTGGAAATGTTTTTAATATACATACATGAACCACAATAATGTTTATATATAATAATATAGTTGTTCTAAGATGGCCCTGCATGAACTAGCTGTTAGCCTGTCAATCCAGTCAGAGCCGCCAATCTGAGGTCATGCAAAAAGGTCAGATATAAATGTTTAATTTTCTTTTGTTTGAACTATTAAGTCATGCAAAACCTACCTTCTGCATCATTTTGGACAGCCGTGTGGGTCTTTACTGCCTCTATAAACCCTCCAAATGAAAAAATCCATCCATCAGTTTCCTGTCAGTGTTTGATTTTAGGAATTATGTGCCATTACAAACCATTTCCTAAACTCCCCGACTGTGATGTCACACTGAAATTAGAATAGAACCACCCCTCACCTCTCCAAACTTGAGGAGCAGCGGCTCTTTTCTTCGAGCCCATCCATGATATCCGAGCTTTTCGGTTTATTTAAGAAGGTTGTATGTGACGGAAACAGGTCGGCTGAGCCGTATTAAAAGATTAACGCTATTCGAAGTGTCTCGGATCCTCCTTCTTTTCATCCCCACCTAACATTGGATCATCCAGACATTATCCCGGGCAAACCCACATACACGCATAATTAAATTTTTATTGTTTGCCCTCTCAGCCCAGCACTTTCCATCGTCTGGCTTGACTCTAAACGAGCGATTTACCTTGTACCAAAGACAAGCTGCAGAGAAGGAAATGATGAAACCAAGAAAGAGCCCAGAGATACACAGGTAGAGTCGCCTATTGAGTGACCCTCTCACCTTCAGTGTGCTGTGGCTTCACGTCTTCTTTTAAACAGCTTTCAGGTATTTCTTTCACCTTTCTGATCTGATAATCATCAGACTTTAACGGGCTATTAGTTCTCATGCTTGGTGGAGGTCAGTTTTGGTTGCCAGCAGTTTTTGCTTTTTATCTTTTTGGCCTTTAATTTATTTTTGGCAGTTGCTTGACCGGTTCAGCTGGCTGTTGCTATGGCTCACGTGAAAACCTAATATTCCTACATTAACTGTGCTTCCTCCCCACAGGCGAATTGATGTGTCACCAAGTGCTTTTAAGAAACACCCTCAGCTTTTTGAGGCGATGAAAAACTCAGAGGATGGGACATTCAAGGTGACTGAACATTTTGCTCTTTGACATTTTTTGGAAAGACAACATCAGAGAAACGAGCGAGCCACATGTCGTTAGACTACAGCCTTTGTTAAAGCCCGTGGCTTTCCACGAGGGGAAGATGGTCAAAGTCTAAGAAAAGAAAACAAAAAAAGGCACTTTGACCTTTTGTTTGTGGTACTGCCTCACACAGTGACTTATTTGTATTTTGGGCACTGGCCTGATTGAGGCTAATAAATCAAATATGGTCAGACGTGGAAGCCTCTGTGCCAGTGATGTCCAAAGGACTCTAACTGTCTTTGTAAGTATTCTCTAAACCGTAATAGAATAAAAATATATGTCAGGGCCAGTTAGCACCAGTAGGAAGCCATACACACTTGTGCTTATATTTACATACCTTTGAGTCATCCATCACAATATCTTTGTTGATTAAACACACAAAGTCAGCTGTAAATGTAACATTTTATTGCTTTTCACCTAAATTACAAAGCTTTTATATTCCAAGGAAAACACCTCCAATGATTTCCGGAAGCTCATCTCACAGTTTGTGCTTCACAGATCTGATCTGGATTATACGCTGTTTTTTTAATTATATAAATGACATAAATTGGACAATTATTTATCAAGGGGGAGCTTAAGTCACACCCACTTACATCCAATCCAAAAGCCAAAAAATGAATGGGAGTCTATGAGCTGATAAAAGTTATTTTCTGATCCCGTTTGACATGTGACATGGGTTTAAAATAGGCTCATTTTCGACAGGCGGCAAAAGTTACTTTAGGTTTTGTGTGAAAAGACGTATAGGACTCCAACTACTCGTCTCATCAAACTGACATCATCGAACCAGACACAGAGAAGAAAAATGGCTGAGTTTAGCGAGAGTCACATCCATCCAAGATGAAAGGAGCATTAAATGTGGAGAAAAACACTTTAAATGTGGCCATGTGGTAAGTAGCATCTTCACTAAGGAGAAGAGCTTATTCAGTGATGTCATATATGCGACTTTGTAGTCTTTTTAGGTATTGATTTGTAGTTTTTTTTTTTTACATTTTAGCAAATAAATCCCAAATTACGTGACGTGGTCGAAACACACATACCTGTAATTATCATTCAGGGCGTAAAGCAAAGTGGACCAGAAAATAACTTTTATAGCACAGTTCACTTTAGTCAGGAGACCCATGAGCTAACCAGAAGGGGAGGAGGCTCCCTATTGGAGTAAAAAAAAACTATTTAACTGGACATTTGAATACAATTAAATTAATTTCCTATTCTCCATTCATCTTCTGTTTTAATAAGTTGTTTGAAACAGGACATTCTGAAAAGCACCTTATTTTTTTGTTGTTTCTTTTTCCAAAAGTTTTGTTTTGAAAAGCCAGAACACACCTTGTTGTTGAAGCTATGGAATCTAAACTGTGGAAATGTTGATGAAAAGTATTTTGATGCCATATGTTGATTCAAGCCTCTCCCAAGGATGCCGAAATCTCCCACGAGCACTTAAACGCATCAGTTAGAATGCGTGCAACTTTGATAAAAGTTGACTCTATGCTGATGATGGTGGATTGTTTAGCTGAGGTAAATCTGAAGTTTTTATCAAGTTAAATGTCAAACATTTATTGAAAAGCTGCTTGAAAATCAAAGAGAGAAATATTTTTTTCATAAATAAATAAATTTTTGAAGGAAACTTGAAGGAACTTGGCTCTCTAAATGCACAGGTTCAGTTTTTCTATCACTAGGGTTTCCGTCGAATTGACTTCATTTTCTCCACACCAGCTTGGCTAACCCAAAGTCTATCCACGACATTGTGTTTATTTATTTATTTATTTATTTTTTGTTAATTTACTCAGGATGGTGGACAAAAAGTGAAGGGTGACCCAGTGGATCTCCGTCTGGACATTGAGCGCCGTAAAAAATACCCGACACATGACCACAGTCAAGATCAGGGAAGAGATAATGGAGATTCCCCAGACTTTAGCAGAAGCAGGTCTCAGGAAAGCTTTTCCAAAGGCTGCAAGATAATGAAGTGCGTGCAGTTGACTCGCTCTTTAATGAAGATGGAAACATTTGTTCAGCTCTTGGGTTAAATATGTATAAATAAATTTGCTTTTCTTTTTGCAGAAGAAGTGATAAAAAACGCTCTCGCTCCAGTTCATCATCATCTTCCTCATCCTCTAAATCGCATAAGGATGATAGTTTACCTCATAGTAATTCTGAGTCAAAGGATGAAGTCTTCAACCGGGCCTTGCTTGGCCAAAGAGAGTCACTGGGGATGAGTGAAGGACACCGGCCACAAGGAGAATTTGTGAGTTTAATCAGGATCACATTTTCATTTGCACAGATTCAGTGTCAGTCATTTTATTCACGTTTTGTTTAGTTTCAGAAGATACAAATCCGTGGAAGAGGTTGGAACAAAGGCGGAAATCAAGGAAACGGTTCTTACCCTGTGAACAAAGCAGTACAACCAGAAAATGAGAGCTGGGACCCAAAATTTACTCCCAAGAATAAAACATACTACTTGGTATAGTTGTTTTCTTTTAGATGCATCTGTTTTAAAAAATATTCTATAAATATCAATTAGGTCCCCTACCTGCTCAGAAACATGTAAAATTACCAACTCTTCTCCTTTGTTTGTTTTTAGCACGATGATAGAGAGTCCGCACAGATGGACAGCCAGGAGCGAGGTCGGGGAACTCTTCATGGGCGAACACGATTCATCATCCGTAAGGCCACTGGGAACGCCAGCACAATCACCAAATGGGCCCATGATAAGTTCCAGCCAAGCGGGGAGCAGGGTGAAAAGGAGGAGGAGGAGGAGGCAGACCAGAACCACAAAGAGGAAGTAATAAATGGACAGAAAACTTGAGCAATGAAGACAACTGCTGCAAGACCCTAATACTCTTTGTCTTCTGAGTATTTTCATTTGTTTGTTCTTTTTCAGAAACCTAAAAACCCTCATATACATATATATTATATATAATATATATGCATCAGGAGAAGCAATAGACCCGTTTCCACTATCAAAACTTGTGGGTAATTTTACCGGACCTTCGTGGTATGCGTGCCTCCTTTTCACAGGCCCGACCAGAAAGGACTATTTTATGAGGCATTTCAGGATTCAACCGAGTGACTGAACTAGGGACTGAATGCCCGGTGGTCGTTGGGTGGGACTTGTAAATAACTCATGCTGATTGGTTGTTACTCAGTACGAAATATTATCAGAAGACATCGCCAAACAACCAGCATTTATAAAATTTAAAGAGTTGACGTGACACAGATTGGAAGGAAAAGACAATAAGCAGTGTTGATACTGCTTTAAAATCACTGTTTGTTAACTTCTAACCCTGAACAATGCTGCAGAAATCCCCCATAATGCCGTATTTCACGCCACTGTAAAAAACATCCCTTCTTCTGGTTATTGACTGCTGCTTTTTTCGGTCATGCAGCTGCTCTCCCCTTCCCCCAATAGATGAAATTAGGGCATACTTTTAACAAAAAACCAAGCAACCTTTTTAAAAATGTTATTAGAGTAACACTAGACAGTTTTCTGTTCCTCTGCCCTACTGGTTGAAAGTGGAATTGCAACAGTCGTAAACAACCCTGCTGTACAAGAAGCTAACACTAACATGAGCCAACTGATACTGAAATAAATCATTAAGTAAAGAGATCCACACTGTTGGAATATTATTACTTACAAGATCTGTAGAAACAAAGCCAGGTCATCATTTGTCCATGATTTTGTAGCCTCCTTTAGCTCCTCAAACTAGCATAGGCCAAGCCGATGTTCATTCTGGTTTTAGCTCTTTGCTTTGCCTCCAAAGACAATACTCTCCTACTTTTACTTCTAGGCTCCACCATGATGCCAAAAGAAAAAGCAAATTTCTTGTTTTTCTTCTTTTTATTGATGATCAGTGAACTGTAAATGCTAACCGCTAGCATTACAGCTAATGACCGGTAAGCAGGTCAAGAGCTCTCCCTAAAGGGCTCCTACCCGCCCTACGCAACTATCAAGTGTGGTATTTGGTCAGCAGAAGGCTGCAGAGTGGTGCCAGATATGAAAATGGTCAAGTTTCCGACCCAACAATCACTTCAATCAATGTTAAAACTCTAGTTTAAAGAAAAAAAAACTATTTAGTGTTACTTTAATGTTTGTGGATGCCTTTTTGCGCTGATCAGATATGTCATTAACTGCTGAAACGGTTGCAATATTCTGATGTCTTGAAGTCCTGAAGGGGCTGATTTTGTTTGGAGACACGAGAAAGGACCGAGTTATCTTTAATTTTCTTCGCCGCCCCCTCCACCCCCCCAGAGATTTCCCAGAACTCCTGAAGTGAAAACACGGCTAATGTGATTAGTAGAAGCACTGTTGAACCCTCTCGGGCTCAAAATGCGTTTTGATGAAAGGACGAACAACTAAGTCCTTCAGGGGTATTTCTGAGTAAAAAAATGCTCATGAAAAACGAATGTGGAGTCACCTGGTAGGTAGGGTTTAACGTTGCAAATCTGCAACGCCTGCCTCCAGAGGGTTAAGGATGAAATTAATGACAGTGAACTTTTTCCTCTTTGGCTTGAGCTCGCCTATGCAGAATTGCTGTAATTATTAGCTGTTTTTCACCAAGGGTGCGTAGAATTTACGAGTTTTGCAATCATACAGATTTGCGTGAATAAATGTTTTCCAACCAGAATAAATTGTTATACATCACATGGAATAAAATATTGATATTTACATCCACGAGTTTGAAAGATGGTGTTTGAACAAGATCAAAATTACAGAAATAATAAAGTCTAATTTTCACGGCACAATAAAAGACCCTGATTTTTACAGTGGGACCAATATCTACAGGGTCAAAGGTTACACAGGTTGTCATTATGCAATATTTAATTTAACAACTGTTGTATTCTGACTATTGTTTTACATTTAACATGGTCTTCAGTAAAATATTTCTTTTTCTTAACACCATTTGATGATTAAAATAGCAGTTTCCCTCTGATGGGCTTATTTAGAGCTTTTTTATCACTTGGCAGGGTTGGAGTTTGACTCTTAAAGTAAATGTGTGTTTGTCTTTACAAATTTAGACTTTCAAATATTCCACGGGTGATTGGTAAATTATGTAAAGCCTTTAAACTCAAAAAAATTAGTTGCTGTTTTTTTTGTATGTAGTTTGTAACGAAGACAATACAAGCTTGAATGCTTATTGTTCTGTCCTGTTTATCTTTTATAGAGGTAATTTAATTTCAAATTAATTGGTTGCATTGGTATTTTAGAAGCCTGCGGATTGAAATGAACATTTATCATTTAAATGACGGCCTTTTTGTGGGAATATTGGGATTTTATTTGTCTTTATTTTCCTTTAAGATTTTAAATAAAAGAGACACTAATTGCTTTAATGCATGATTGTATTGTCTTATTGCACCAGAATATAATGTGATTTTGATAAACTCAATATTATAAGGGCTTTAATAAATTATGTATTGATGTGATGATTAAAATTGAAATTCTCACCAAACTTCTTGATTCATCTCTCATTTCTTAAAATGTTATTTAAAAAAAACAACTTTGTATTGTAACATTTTTAATTGGTCAAGTGTCTTAAGAGCTTTTAGAGACTTTTCTTCAGAGTTACTTTCAGGATAAAGGACCGTTTCTTAAAACCTCTTGAAAAAATTCAGAAAAGTTTGCCTTCTTGAAATCAAAATGTTAAGATAGTAATGGCTTAGGACTCAAACGTACAGTACGTTCAGTGTTCAGTGTTTAAATTTAGATTACTAAGATCACAAACGTGCGATGTTTAAACTGGATTTGTCAGATTCCTGCCTACAAAGACACAGCTTTTTGTCACAGAAATTTCTTGCGTGTTCTCGCTAACTAAATTTGCTGCAGGGTGTTGGAAAAAAAACATCTTACCCTGGTATTGTTTTATTTATTGGCTATTTAGGGTGAGAAATAAGGTCAATTTCCCAGAAATTACATTACAAGTTCATGCTCTAAAGCCTTTCCACTGGACGTGAAACGTAGCATATAAGCAGCATTTTACCCACAAGCTCCCTTCCAATCGGACATGAAACCGGAGCAAAGGCGGTCCATGCTGCAGGTCCCGCAAAGTTACCATCATGGAAAATTCCAACACTTCATGTGAAGTCCACATGTATCCAGAAAAGGTCTGTGGTTTATTTTCTGTTTACATCAGCTACGAAAGTTTCACAGGAAATGACCTACGTTTAACTGCACGTGACTTTTATTTTGAAAGTTCCAGATATTTTACACTGGCTTTGTGTTTGACTTCCTGTCTGGCCTGATCTAAACTGTGGAGTTTGACCTATTTTGGAAGTGTAGCATGTAAAAAATAGACTCAAACCATATTAACGTTCCTTCACTTCTGGGACGTGTCCAAAACGTTTGTGCCGGTGGAAAGGAACTTATCCACTATAGGGAGCCTAAGTCTCCTCCCTTTCCGGTCGGCTCACGGGTTCCGGAAGAGCGAAAAAAATTAATGCAACTCAACGGGGTTAAAAACGCTATTTTCTAACCCGCTTTGCCTTACGCCCTGGATCGCACATATGTTGTACTGCAATTCAATTGAAAAGTAATGATGGGTGTTTCAACCACACCAGTCACGTACTTTGAGATTTATCAGCTTGTAAAAGTTTGGAATTAGCATGACTACACAGCAGAAATCGGCATGTTGCATATGTGATGTCACCACATAATCTCCTCTCCCCTAAAGTAGCTGTTACTTACCAAATGACCAGATTTACGGTGGTTCTTTCCTCCTATGGGAAGTTTGCTGAACTTGCAGCCCTTTTCTCTCAGTTTTCTCCGTGTCTGGTTCGATGATGTCACTTTCGTGAAGTGCATTTGTAGTCCTGGACTTATTTTCACACAAAACCTAAGATAGCGTTTCCCACTGTTCGAAAATAGGTGCGTTATCAATATGTGTCTTTAAAATTCACGGACATCATGTGTGAAATCCATCGCACATAACAAGCAGAATTAGAAAATTGCATTTTTAGCCCCATTGATTTGCATTAATTTTTTTGTTCTTCCGGGGAAGTGGATGGGCATGACTTAAGATCCCTATAATGGCGGCAAATTGCCGCGAAGTACATTTCGCGCTTGTTTCGCGACACTTTCATGTCCGGTGGAAAGAAAGCTTTAGAATTCTGTTATTTATTGGACATAAAGCCAGACATGTTGTGTCTGCCCTAGGACTGTGAGATTGGGGTTCAAATCCTGTCGGGTCATACCAAAGACCTTAAAAAAGGGACCAGATGCCTCCCCTCTTGACACTCAGCATTAAGGGCTTGGATTGGAGAATTAAATCACCAAATAGTTTCCAAGCACAGCCACTGCTGCAGCTCACCACTCCCCGGGGATGGGTCAAATGCGGAGATGTTTTTTCACCAGTGATTTTGACTAATTGGACTTCATCTTTAATAGAAAACAATATTAAAAGGTCTACTATTCCTTAAAGAAATGTTTTGGGTTTACCAATGGGCAGTTGATTGTGGTAGCCATCTTGAATTGGGATAACATCAATCTGTGAAATAGGGTTCATATGTGTTGCTTTCAGACAGACATGCCTGAAGTCAGTGAACGATAACTGAATTAACTGAAAAGTTGCTAGAACTTGGAACATTTGCTCTAAGCTAATAATACATCAAATATGAGCTCATTATCTGTTGACGAACTAAGGTATAACAGCTGTCCTGCTTTCTACTGTAGCTTTAAAGCACATTGAGTTGCCTTTGTGTAGGAAATGAGCTATATCAACAAAGCTGTCTTGTCTAGCAGTGGCAGCCATTTTGAGTTGGGTTGAAACAGTTGTAGCAGGTAAATAGTGATTACTTTTTGAAAAGTTCATTAAAATCCATCTTATTTGTGAGATAATTAGCTAAAACTACAGAGAAACACATGCACACATATGAATACAGCAATATTGCAAATTGCCAATAGCTAATATTTGCCTCAACACTGAATGTAGGAAAGTGTAGAGGGATAATATAAGTGGATTTAAGCTTAATATACTACCTTTACTTATGACGAATAAGATGTGATATTCTATATAAATATAGGATATCAACCTGATTGATCTTTGAATGTTTAATCAGAAGAATTAGGATTCTTTGCCTTTTCAGTGATCATAAACACACTTCATATTAATTTAGACAGAGTCAAGTTTATAAAAATAAGGAAATTATTTCCTAAACAAATTATAAAACATGACCCAGCTATAAACAACTTTATGTGAATGGAATGTGATGTTTGATGATGGAATGGTGTGTGATGTTTATCAGAACCTTGGATCTAGAAGAAACTGAGTTCTGGGTGTGAAAAGAATTTGCTGTTTGTTATGAACTATAAGTGATGGTTTATAAAACGGCATCGGATGCAATTCAAGTCGTGCCTACGTACCCATTCTGGAGACCCCGTTTGGATCCGAGATGTCGAGGAGTCGGTGACCCCGAATGCACGTGGCTCGTAGGAAAACCTTGATGCGACCAAGTCAGTCCTAGGATGCCTCCAGGTCATAACGACAGAGGAAATAGTTTTGCATCTCAAACGGTTGGACTCTTTAAGCCGGGCGTACACTGTGCGACCTTTTTACTCGTAGCACTCAGCTTCAGCTCAAACTGTACGACTTCCTCGCAGGGCAGATCTCACGAGTCATGTGCTCACACTGTACGACCCAGTTCTCGGATGCGACCTGACTGCTCACACTGTACGTCTGGTAGCAACACGTCGGCCCTAAAAATGTGCTAAAAATAGCAGTTTTTACTTAACACGTCAGACTTTTTCGTCTTGCCTGTTGTCCTTCGGGAATGCTGCAGGAGGACACACAGGGATTTATGGGGGTTGGATGAGGAAAACGAAATAAAGAAAGTGAATCTGTGTTTTGTGATCAGTTTAATTTGACATGAACACGACAAACACGCTTTCTTGACAATCTTTGTGAGTTAAAAAAACGTGTTGAAACAAAAACGAACAACGTGTGTTATTAGGGAAATAGCGAGTGACCGGCGTTGAAGCAGGATTGCGCGCGCATGCGCCGTGAGCGGTTCTGATACTTTTTTGGATCGTAGCTGCTCGCAGCGCCGCTTCAACAGTGCGATACCCTCACAAGGGACGAGCGAAATATTAAACACACCAGAAGTCCCTGCGACCTCACGACTGCTGATCGGCGGCTGGTCACGTGGTGTTAATCGCCTCTCGTAACCCCCTGTACACTACACGACCGCTCGGCGCAAAACTCGCCCCGATGTCGTGGCTTTTCGCGCGACTGGAAAATCGGCTCAAAAAAGTGAAAAAGTCGCACAGTGTACGCCCGGCTTAAGGAGTCAGAGCTGTGTCAGCTTTGTTCTGCAGGAACCGTTTGCTGTGTCAGCTGCAGCGTGCAACAGGTTTTGACACCTTGTCAAAAGATGCGGTGGTTAAAAAGTTTTCCTCCGGTGGCCAGTCCGGAGTTTGGCTCAAACCTGAAATCAAAGCTTTGCTAGTTAAACTGAAGGTTTTTCTTTTAAATGATCTGTGTTGGACCATGTCTCACCAAACAGATACAACTTTAAATAAAATCATTGCAATCATGCTTTTATCTAAAATAAGCACACGCACGCACACAAAAACCAAACAAATTTCGCTTTATTAATGGAACGATGCACAAGAACGGAAAATAACATATAAACATAAAACGTTAAGTTACACTGAAATGTTATTATTTGTTAAGACACAACTTCATGAAACTATGTACAAGATTTTAATTCAACTTCTGGAAAACTTATCTGTTACGGTGTATTTCTATAAGTAAAGTGTGAGGCTTCGATCATTTGTTCTGGCTCCTTTGGGTGTCTAGTATTTAGTTCCATTTAAATATTTTAGGCCAGGGATGTCCAAAGTCCTCGAGTGCCCCTCGAATACAAACAAATTGTTTTGCTGCTCCGACACATCTGATCCAGTGTTTAAAATAACCTGTTCAGCAGGTAATCAGGTTCTGCAGACGCCTATTAATCACCTGCAGATTAAAACCAGGTGTATTGAAGCAGATACACAGTTAAAACACGCTGGGTAGAGGCTCTCAAGGAGGACTGGACACTACTGCTTTTGGTAAAAACGTGTTTTTCTCTTTGTGCTGCAGAATAAATCTGTGTTTGAGAGAGTGGGACTCCCGTAGACTCCCATTCAGAAGGTTTTACTTGAATTTTTCTACACATGCAAAAAGCACCAATGACTTCTACGCTCTAATTAGATTCTGAAGATAAACGGTATTGTGTAGAACTTCCTGGCTTTGTGTTGTGACTGTAAACCCGCCGTACCTGTTTGGTCTCAGTATCTCCTCCTCTGCAGCCGACAGCACCGTGAAAACCCGTCCCACTCCTTGCTGCTGACTTGTCATGACTCGCCTCAGGAAAAGTTACTCAATGTTAATCTTTGACGAGAAGGAAGACGGGCCTTTGCTTCCACATCGCTCAGACAGGCAACGAAACCACAACCTCTCAGTTCTCCTTCCATTCAGGACTGTGCTGCTGCTTTCTGGGGAGAAAACAGTTTGATTTGTGGGAGAACAAACGAATACCACCATGGGTGAGTTGCTGCTAAAATATGGGCAGCCCTTCTTAATCTTTTGACTGCTGGGTGTATTCTCTGCTGGGAAAGGAGGTAAACTTTACCACAATTTAACCCTTTGATGCATGAATTATGAAATGTTCAACCATGATTTTTTAACAATTTTTTTCATTTGTCTTTAGGTGTGAATGAAACAAATTTCAACAAAAATTTTTTGTAAAATTTTATAATTTACAAATAATTTATTACATGTCCACCTCAGTGGACAGCGTGCATTCTGAGCATGAAATATGTTGGCTTGACTTACTGAAGTCCAAATGGAGGGGCTCACATGCAATAAAGTCTTCAACAGCTGTGCTTAATAGCAAAAAACAAATAATTTTGAGTACCTGTCCACTGTAGTGACCATTATGCACCAAAGGGTTAAAAATGCTGAATGATGATAGGAATGAGCGGTGTTGTGTCTACTAGAAACATGGCTGATGTGACTAAAGTGTTTTAACTTGACAAGGAAAATGAAACAAAATCCTTGGAACTGCACAGAAATACCACAGAACAGCTCTGCTTGGACATGTTCTGAAATATTTTTGTTCGCTGCTTCCTAATGGTTCCTGTTAGTGAAATACAAACAGATTCCTCTATAAGTTATCTCTTCTCTACTCATGAGGAATTACTTGAGACAAAAGCAAGTCCAGATCTGATGCTCAGAGGTTTTGTCTTGGTTTTAAAATGCCAGGATGAATCAGTGCTGAGGCACCAGCCTTTGTGAAATGATGTGTAATTTTCTGCCCTATTTGTGGATGAGCTGCAGAGGTGCTGGTGCTGGTCGACTTTGAGGGCACCATGGGCGACGAGCTCACAGTGAAGATGGGAGATGTGGTGAAAAATGTCACCAAGGCCAGTGAGGAGGGATGGCTGAAAGGAGAGCTGAGGGGGAAAACGGGCATCTTTCCTGCCACCTTTGTCAAAGTATGTTGTCACTGTGTGTGTGTGTGTGTGTGTGTGTGTGTGTGTGTGTGTGTGTTATTAAATGCCTTATTTTAGTTTTTATTTGTATTCATTACAGGACATACCAGTGTATCTGACTGGTGACAACAACAGGGAACCAAGGAGTCTCAGAAAAGGTACAGTAGTTAATTTTTCTTTATTTTAATTTTATTAATTGTTTCCGTCCAGGCATTTACCACCTAAGTGACGGACCACCTCCAAAATGTGTATATATCTTACTAATGAACAATAATATTGTGTGCCTAAAAGGGAGTAGGAAAAAGACTTATTTAATCACAACACTGTCTGTATGATTCACTGCTATCTGCCATAAATGAGCGATAACTCACCTTTTCAGACTCGAGATGGATAAAAAAATAACTGTAGGTATAACAGATGACACCAACAATGGTGATAAACCACATTTAAAGAGCTCTTTAAAGAACCATTCAGAGTGGTGAATATTGTGTGTGTGTGTGTGTGTGTGTGTGTGTGTCTCTCCAGACTGTTCGTTGAAATTTTCATTTGTGCATGAAAGCAGAAAAATAGAAACCTAAGCTGCTGATGTTTTATGTTGTGGCAGGACAGAGTTGGGTTCGGACAGTAGAGAGAGAGTTGGACCTTTTGGTAACCCCTTACAATAAGGGTCCCTTTTATTAATGTAACTTTTTACAGTAATAATTACTAAGCAGTCCTAACATTAAGGACACTTTATAGTAAACTATTGGGTACGTTAATAAAGGTATCCTGTGTTTATTATTGCTCAATAATGCACTAAGTAATGTTAATACAGGGACTCTTTTTGGTGTAGCTGGCCCAATCAGACAGCATGAAAACATTGTTCCTCTGTGTGTGGTTAATAAGCACAACAAACCCCAGAGGGAGTTTTGTATGTGATGACTAGCGAGCTTTTTTCTTTTTTCTTTTACTTTATTTGGGCTTCAAGTGTCGGGTGGCAATCCATAAGGTCATTAAATCCTAATTCAGCCCCAGACAGTTATTATTATTATTATTATTATTATTATTATTTACAAATAAAATAAGCATCCAAAATGCTGACTGGAACTTTAGTATTTATTTTAGTGGTTTTTGCATTAAACAGAACTTGACTCAGTCCAACACTTTTCTGAAATTCAGATCATGAGGCGAGTGGGTTCAAACAGCAAACCAGGCCAGACATTTCATTTCTTATTTTCTTTTCATTAATGGTAAATGGTCTGTATTTTATATAGAGCCTTCTAGAGTCCTGGAACTCCCCAAGGTGCTTTACAACACAATCAGTCATTCACACATTCACACCCAGATGGTGATGAGCTACACTGTAGCCACAGCTGCCCTGGGGCACACTGACAGAGGCTTTAGAGATCATTTATTTAGGTTGTTAGTTGAAAAATAAGTACATAAGATTTAACAATTTTTATATCTCTGAAAGCCGTGGATTTAACATTAGATTTTTTTTTCAAGGTTATGGGTCATTTACACGTGCCACCCTTATTCTAAACCCTTGCCCCTACCTGGCCACCCCAACAAAGATTTTCTAGACACATCACTGTAGCTGACTTTATTATTTATATGTATTTTGCAATAAAAAAGAGCTGTTAAAATGTGGTGAAGTCTGCTGTAAATACATGTCTGACATCCATGCCTCACAAAGCCCAGTTATTACAGTGCAGTGCAAAGTTGGAGCAGACAACGACAAACACAGCAGCTTTGAAGGATTAGATTGCAACTTTACATCCGTCTATTGGTGTCGCATTTCTGTTACTCTTTGATTTAGACTTTTCTTTTTCTGCAGCTAAGAAGGTGATGCAGATGAGGAGATGTGAGGTGGCCTTTGCTTATGCTCCGCAGAACGAGGACGAGCTGGAGCTGGCTCCTGGTGAAATAGTTGACATTGTTAAAGAGGTACAGACTTCTTATCACACACTTGTAGTTATTCTCGTGTTGTTTTTAGACCAGTAACTAAAGGAAGTTCTCTTTAGCTGCTCGGACAAAAGGGCAGTTCCAAAGGCTGTCAAACCTTCTGCATTATATTCAGATCAGGGCGTTGGAAGCCTTTGTTCTGCCAAACCTCCTCGGTATTCAGATGACTCTCTGGTTACCGACGCAAATTACAGCTTTACTGAAGGCATTGGAGTCACCAGACGTCTTTTGCAGGCTGACTTTTATCTCCATATTCAGTTTATTATAAAAACATTTAGCTGTTCCTTTGTTTTATGTGACAGATTGAAGATGGATGGTGGATGGGGGTGAAAAACGGCAAAGTGGGAGCGTTTCCATCGAATTTTGTCAAAGAACTTTTTGTAGCCCCTAAAGGTTGGTGGCTTCATTCAATTTCCTCTTAAAGTTCACTGAGAAACAATTTCCTAGTTGTTGTTTTTTGAAATACGCACATGCAGGTTACAGGGCTGCCAACTTTGGCACCATTCATGCGTGTGCGCCAGGAGGGGGTTCATGTTATATTTCTCTTCTGGCATTAAAAACTGACTCAAAATGTAATTATGGCATCCCTTTGCTTCTGGGACACGTTCAAAATGTTAGTTTGCTGCCGGTGGAAAGGAACTCGTCCACTATGACGGCTAACTGCGGCGTCGTAAGTTTCATAACGCTTTCACGTACCGTGGAAAGCAGACGTAACTTAGTTACTGTTTACTGTAAACGTATGGGAAGGGGGGGGGGGGGGATTGAACTTGGTCTTTAACTTTTTTAAAAAATGTATAAACTCCAAAAATAATTTACATCATCCCTTTCCTAACAGATGGAAAGTACGGTGAGGGCAAGGCAAGGCCCAAACTGGCAGATGCTGTCTTCAGTAAGGAGGTATGGTAATGAGAAAAACATACATGTATATATATTTTTATCAGTAAAACTGCAGGATGTGTTCCAACCACAGGGGATCGCTCTCCTGGGCCTTCCTGGTAAGTTCTATTCGGGGAGTTTGGACAGGAGGGTCTGGTGGATTGTCGAACCTCAGATTCAGGAGGAGCAACGTGGTTTCCATCCTGGCTGTGGAACACTGGACCAGCTCTACCCTTACTGCAGCATTAGGTGGAGTCTGGAGAGAGCGTGGGAGTTTGCCCAAACAATCTACATGTGTTTTGTGGATTTGGGGAAGGCGTTCAGCTGCTTCCCTTGAGGGGCCCTTTGGGGGGTACTTTCGGGAGTATGGGGCACCAGGCCCTCTGACACGGGCTGTTAGGTCCCTGTATGACCGGTGCCAGAGCTTGGTCTGTGTTGCCGGAAGTAAATTGGGCTCATTTCCGTTGAGAGTTGGACTCCGCCAAGGCTGCCTTTTGTCACCGATTCTGTTCATTTCTATGGACAGGATTGTTAGGTGCAGCCAAGGTGTTGAGGGGATTTGTTTTGGTGGCCTGAGTCTCTGCTTTTTGCAGATGATGTGGTCCTGGTGGCTTCATCAGAACGTGATCTCCAGCTCTCACTGGAGCGGTTCGCAACCAAGTGTGAACCAGCTGTGATGAGAATCGGCTCCTAAATCCGAGACCATGGTCTTGAGTCGGAAAAGGGTAGAATGCCTTCTCCGGGTCAGGGATGAGGTCCTGCCCCAAGTGGAGGAGTTTAAATATCTTGTTGTTTTGTTCACGAGTGAGGGAAAAGCGGAGTGTGAGATCGATAGGCGGATTGGTGCTGCGTCTGCAGTGATGCAGGCGTTGTACCGATCTGTTGTGGTGAAGAGAGAGCTGAGCCTCAAGGTAAATCACGCAATTTATAAGTCGATCTCTGTCCCTACCAAGGGCGTAGGAACTGGGGGTGGGGGTGGGGGGGTGGGGGGGACGGGTGGGACATGTCCCCTCCAATATTGGACAAACGCGTATTTGTCCCTCCCAATAACGTGGAGATGAAAAAAATTTATTGTGATAAATTTGATTCGTGAGCTTTTATTTTGAAAGATACCGCTGACTTCTCACCACACAGCCCCTCCCCCCAGGGAGTCAGACAGGCTGGCTGAAGCAGGAGTCTGAGCCGGGGCGCAAACACAGGTATCAGAGATGGTGAATTTGAGACAAAAACCATTTGACACACACAAAAAAAAATAAAATGAAAAGGTAGAATCTCCACATAAAAATGTAGTTTGTAAGTATGATTGTTGCTTATTTGTGACATTCTCATCAAATTTTATTTTAAACCTTATTCAGAAATAATCATTAAATAAAAAAAATTCAGTGAGATTGACCTACACTCATCTAAAGGATTATTAGGAACACCTGTTCAACTTCTCCTTAATGCAATTATCTAATCAACCAATCACGTGACAGTTGCTTCAATGCATTTAGGGGTGTGGTCCAGGTCAAGACAATCTCCTGAACTCCAAACTGAAGGTCAGAATGGGAAAGAAAGCAGATTTAAGCAAGTTTGAGCATGGCATGGTTGTTGGAGCCAGACGGGCCGGTCTGAGTATTTCACAATCTGCTCAGTTACTGGGATTTTCACCCTCAACCATTTCTAGGGTTTACAAAGAATGGCGTGAAAAGGGGAAAACATCCAGTATGCGACAGTCCTGTGGGCAAAAATGCCTTTTCGATGCTAGAAGTCAGAGGAGAATGGGCCGACTGATTCAAGCTGATAGAAGAGCAACTTTGACTGAAACAAGCTCTCGTTACAACCGAGGAATGCAGCAAAGCATTTGTGAAGCCACAACAGACACAGCCTTGAGGCGGATGGGCTACAACAGCAGAAGACCCCACCGGGTACCACTCGTCTCCACTACAAATAGGAAAAGGAGGCTACCATTTGCACCAGCTCACCAAAATTGGTCAGTTGAAGACTGGAAAAATGTTGCCCTGTCTGATGAGTCTCGATTTCTGTTGAGACATTCAAATGGTAGAGTCAGAATTTGGCGTAAACATAATGAGAACATGGATCCATCATGCCTTGTTACCATTGTGCAGGCTGGTGGTGGTGGTGTAATGGTGTGGGGGATGTTTTCTTGGCACACTTTAGGTCCCATAGTGCCAATCGGGCATCGTTTAAATGCCACGGGCTACCTGAGCATTGTTTCTGACCATGTCCGTCCCTTTATGACCACCATGTACCCATCCTCTGATGCTACTTCCAGCAGGATGATGCACCGTGTCATAAAGCTCCAATCATTTCAAATTGGTTTCTTGAACATGACAATGGATTCACTGTACTACAACGACCCCTACAGTCACCAGATCTCAACCCAATAGAGCATTTTTGGGATGTGGTGGAACGGGAGCTTCGTGCCCTGGATGTGCGTCCCACAAATCTCCATCAGCTGCAAGATGCTATCCTATCAACATGGGCCAACATTTCTAAAGAAGGCTTTCAGCACCTTGTTGAATCAACGCCACGTAGAATTAAAGCAGTTCTGAAGGAGAAAGGAGGTCAAACACCGTATTGGCATGGTGTTCCTAATAATCCTTTAGGTGAGTGTATAAATTGACCTTTTGACCTATCACAGATTTTAGATTTCCAAAATGTGTTGACCCCCACCCCGCCCCATAATAAACTTGTTCCAACACCTTTGGTTCCTACCCTCGCTCATGTTCACAAGCTTGGGTAGTGACCGAAAGAACGAGATCGCAGATGCAAGCGGCCAAAATGAGTTTTCTCTGCAGCGTGGCTGGGCTCTCCCTTATGGGCCATTCCCATCTGTACCTAGCCTGGCAAGCTATGCTCCATTGACGGCTCTCGGTTGTGGGGCGGGTTCTACCGTTGTCTTTCAAATGATCTCCGCATTCCACTGGACAATGAATGTGACATACTCTTGTTTCACTCTGTTGCATCATCCCACCCACCAGGCATATAGAGTGCCCTGATTGGCCCACAAAGCGGATAAAGCTCTGTGATTTGTTCACTAAGAAGATAGAACACTATGATTGGCCCACGATTATGGACCAATCACAGCTTTTTATGTGTTTGAAACCCCTCTAGAGCTCTGTGATTGGCTAGCCAGAGACCTGGTAGGAGCTGCGGAGGTTCCAATGGAGCATGCCTAGACCAAACTTTGCAAAGCAAGAATTTGGTCTAGTTCACTAGGCTAATCTGTACCTGCTGATTACCTAGAAGCTGAAAATGTCTCTGACTGCATTCCTTGCATACCTAAGCAAGGATGTGTGGAATCAACCGGGCCAGGCTGGGGCCGACTGGAGCTATCCGGGCAGGGCCGACCAGGTACAGATGGGAATGGCCCATTAGAGAGAGGGTGAGAAGCTCGGCCACCCGGGAGGGGCTCGGAGTAGACCCCGCTGCTCCTCCACATCGAGAGGAGCCAGTTGTAGTGGCTCAGTCATCCGGTCAGGATGCCTCCTGGACGCCTCCCGGTGAAGTTTTCCGAGCACGTCCAAGCAGGACAAGACCTAAAGGAAGACCCAGGACTCGCTGGAGAGACTGCATCTCTCGGCTGGCTAGGCAACTCCTCAGCATTCTCCTGGAGTAGCTGGCCCAAGAGAGGGAAGTTTGGGCTTCCCTGCTTAAGCTACTCCCCCCCCCGACCCAACCCCAGATAAGCGACCAAAAATAAAAGACTTTTTTTAAAATCACTTCTTCTTTTTGTTCTTTCCCATAAAGATGTCCCAAAGAGCAACTGTGCGACAAAAAGCAAAGAAATGTGAGTTCATACCCTTTTTAAAGCTTTTTTTATTCAGAAGCGGCTTGAGAAAAGCACCCAGCTCTATTTAGACTCTCACACACATTTACCACTGGAGCCATATGTGAATACAGATGGGAGTGTCTTAAGTTAGTAACTGATAAAAAAAAGGGTTGCTCCATAGTGAAATATCCCTAAGGTTAAAGGTTTATGTTTATCTCCACTCACTCACAACCATTTCCTATTCGTCACCCTCCAAGTTAACATTGGTGCTTTCAAAGGCGGATGGGATTAGTCATTGCTGGAGTTTCTGATCACATTAGAAACATAAAGCTCAATTTAATTCTATCATTTCCTTGTATCTCCTCAGCTGTCGAGTACTGCCAGGCGTTGTTTGACTACAAAAGCGTTTCAGAAGATGAGCTGGATCTGAAAAAAGGAGACATTGTGGCCGTAGTGAATAAGGTATGCTTTTGTTGTTGTTCCGGTATCGCTTCCCACGTGGTTTCATTACCGCAACACTTCCTCAGAGGAGCTGACGGGTGTTCAGAGCAGCTGGTTGCTCAACTGGAGAAACCAGTTGTTCTAATTTTGAGGGTGACCTTTACGGGAAGAAAAGAAGATAATCTGATTTTTAATACATGAGGACAACAAGTGGGAGGGGCTGTCTGCACCGTCTCTGCCTTCTCATTATAGCGTCGTCTAAAAACTTGAATTATTTTTATTTTTTCGTTTCTTGTAAGCCTGGCGATGTAAACCATGGAAAGTTTAACCCTAGAACTGAAGTCATTTTGACTGCTCCATTTAACGGCCAATAAATTTACATTGTTAGGGTGTAATATCAGATAATATTCAATTTAATAGCAAAATAAGGTTATTTTAACCAAAAAGAACACAGAAATGTAGTTTCACAATCATAACTGTCCATGTTGTTAGTCTAACGCTGTTTACGGTATTTAGATTACATCTCTCTTCCTTTTTTATATTTTAGTTTTAAAAGACATAATTATGAGGAAAAGACATTGATCAAATGTTGGAGATGCTTTAGGACTAACATTTCCAAGCCTCGCTGTTTATTTCTACCTTGTCCAGGGAAACCAGTAACAAAACTTAAGGCTTAACTTAAGTTTAACTTAAGTCTAACACTCAGCCCTATAGCCCTATAGGGCTGAGTTAGACTTAAGTTTCATCATGTCTTACATGTTAAAACACATTAAATTGAAGCCCTGCAGCTTTTTATTTTATTTAGCAAAAAAAAAAAAAACCGGTAATGTAAGAAAGTTGAAAAGGATGTTTTGTTTTTGGGGAAACCAAAGAATGTGTCTTTTAAAAACAATTCCCCGCTGCCCCAAAAACCAGAAAGCTGTGTTTCCCTTGACCTTTTGTTAACCTCCTGCTCAGCTATTTCACGTCCCTATGGACCGAATTATGGCCGAGCCTCTAATGTGACACTTTAATCTCCTTCTGAAGGAAACAGAAGATGAAGGCTGGTGGGAAGGGGAGCTAAACGGACGCTGCGGCTACTTTCCAGACAACTTTGTGATGGTGTTGCCACCAAAGGACGCTCTGCCTGTGAGTTAAACTATTCCTATACACCACCTGTCCAAGAGGACTTCTTTCATCCCTGCCATTAAAGCATGCTCGAAGATATTCATCGTTACATTTTACTTGCTGGTCTAGAAACTGTCTTAAAATGCAAAGTACACAATGTTTGCCTATTATCAGATAGTGCATGTCTGCAGGCTGGACTCTGTTGTGACTCAGGCTTGTTAATAGTCATTCGCTCTTTCTAGTTAGTCACAAAAATCTCCAACAGTGGAAAGATTGTGTCTTTGTGTGTAAGGAGATGCATCAGCCAACCTGTTGAAGTTTCTTTTTCTCCCCATTAAGTCTGGGAACACAACCCTACTGCCTACACGCGTCGGCAGCATGAAAGTCTCAGGTAGGAGATCTGTTCTGGGCATTTTTAGCAGATGGTGGGAAAAGTTGGGATGCATTTTTGATTGGAGTTTTGTGCTCATCTCTGCAAAGATCATGTGTGAGGTTTTATAACAGCAAGAGCTGTAGCATGCACAAGAAAAGCGTTGCAGGTTGAAAAATTATGTTCAGAATTACTTGGTTTAGATGATGAGAGTAAGAAAAGAACAATTTTCACCAAAAGGACACAATGAATTACAGGGGTGTTGGTTTGTTGTTAATAATAGCACGAAGGTTGCAGGTTCGAAACTCGGCTGCGGCATTTCTGCGTGGAGTTGCGTGTTCTCCCCATGCATGCGTGGGTTTCCTCCGGGTACTCCGGTTTCCCCCACAGATCACAACATGCCCTATAGGTAATAAATTGTAAGTCGCTTTGGATAAAAGCGTCTGCTAAACAAATAAACATAAACATAATTTTACAAGAGCACAGAGGCTGCAAATAAGTATTTAGAGTACAGCTTTAAGATTTTGCTGAATCTAAACCTGAAAAGCTGAACGGGTTGGGTGATCTGGCATGGAAATATCTATTCTTTTCGACTAAATGAGTCCTACAGGGTACAATAACGTTGAGGCAGCTGCAGTATCTGTAGCATCTTGTCTGATCGGATATAGGTGTCAGATCTGGTATTTTGTCTTTTCATAATGCAAAAAAGGATGGGCTGAAAGACATTCTCTGCCCTGCAGCACTCTCTGAAAAAACTTGCTCAGCAGGGAGTGCAGGCATCAAATGATTCTATTTCCTGGAAATACACAAACAAAACAATTTTAACTTCATTAAAATCTAATTTTAACAACTTTAATTAGTTTTTCACTAATTACACCAAAATGTCCCCACTAAGGGACAAAGGGATTTTCTATTCTAAATGAAAAATAAAACCAGAACTGTTATATTTCAAATAATTTGACCATGAACGTACAATAAGTATTTCACAGTGGAATAATCACAACAGTCTGTCTCATGTTTGAAGGAAGGTTACATTGAAACTGATTTCCTTCTCTGCCAGCTGGGGGTTATTAGCTTTTCTCCTTTTGAAAAAGGCCAAAGAAGGTTTACAATCTGTTCTGACACCATACTTCCTGGTTCCAGAGCCAATCCTATTTGTGTCCGCAGGGTTGCCATGTCTGCAGTGGCATACCCTGCTGTGCAGGCATTTGTAAGTCGTAAAGAGCAGCAGTGTTGTGTGTGTGTGTGTGTGTGGGTGGGGGGGGGGGGGTGGGGGGGGGGGGGGGGTGGGGGGGGGGAATGGAAGCCAGTAATTGGGAGCGACCCAGAAAATATTTCTTGTACCCCAAAGAAGTCACGATATCTTTTTGTTTTACTCTAAAATCCAGTAAAGCAGGCTGGAGGCTAATGATGAGCTAGCAATGCTAACGGTGATTTTAGAAAACCCTAACCCTAACCCTGCTCTAAAAATATTAAGTAATTTTTTCAGTTACTAACAACTTGACATTACAGTCAGTGTGTTTACATGCACATCAGAAAAACAAGTTATCACCCTAAATAGACTGACGTCTTTTTAAATAAAAAAAAATTTATGCACGCATACACTTTAGTCTTGCTGAAGGTAAACTGCTTCTAATCGTGCTGAAGCACCCAGATAGCACGATGGCAAAACTGCGTCTGCATGTAAACGGCTCAGTCGGGCCGATACCAGCTTCCAGAACTGATGAGACCGTGGAAGCCGTCTTCTGATATCATCATCACTATCACTGGTTGCCTAGGAGATACGTCACCAAGAGCCGCCAAAACGTGTTCCAATGTTCATGTTCTACCGAGGCGTGTGCTCTCCATTTGTTAACTGTTTAGCTAGCTGAGCGAGGATACACGAGAGGTGTCTTATAGCCTAGCCTTGGTCAAAAATTACCCAGAATACAGTGCGGTAACTTTCTAAAGAATGGCGGATCAGAAGCAGGCAGCTACTTATTTTATTTATTTTATTTTATTTTTTATTTTTTTTTAGATCCAAAGAAGTTATCTATGGTTAGTTGCTTAGTAGTCGCAGCTTCGGTGGCTAGTAACTCACTTATATATCTAATTTAACAAATATATACACACTTTCAAAAGTAAAAGACGCGTTATATATTTATATTGAAAATAATACATATTATATATAATGTTATCTCCCGTGTCACGTGACTTTACATGACCACTGTGGTCACGTGATGCAAGTCTGTTCCATTTAACCGTTTTCTTTGACCAAGAAAGGACAGTGTCCTCGTAAGTAAGGCGCCTTGACATTGATAAACACCCATCCTGTTTAAACTTTATCTGCTTCACTCCCGCCAGTGTTTGTTTGCCATTTGTGAAAAGCAGCATGTCGTCACCTAGTGTACCGGAGTGGAACAAACTTCATTTGAGAATTCGGTTTTGTTTTGTTTTGTTTTTTTTACCGTGTCCTGCCTGGCTGTGAAGCAAAAAGAAGTGATGTCTGAATGCTGGTAACAAGCCTTACAGATTTACTCTCAGGTGGAGCATCAAAGCGTCTGCTTTTAATGTCACGCCTGATACTTAAAACTTTATTGTTGTTGTTTTTGAATGCTTTGTAATTCCGACCAGACACGGAGTCAGAGGTGAAAGAGAAAGGAAAAGACAAAAGTTGGGGAGAAGGGGGGAAGGGTGTGTGTGTGTGGGTGGGGTGGGTGGGGGTTCCACAAAAATAAACAATAATTAACAAGAGTCTGCTTTTAGACCTGCAGAAAGAGAAAGAATAGAAGAAAAAAAAGGGACACAACAAAAATACATCAGGAGCAAGCTATCACCACGTCAACCTGATGGTGAAATATAAAATCAACATTGTTTAACTGAACAATCACACGATAATAAATCATAGTGCATGTAGTGGCAACGACAGCCTTAAGACATGTGTTGAACGTGCCCAAGCCCATACTTTTGAGAGCACCATGTGAGCACCTGTGTGTGTACACGCGCTTGTTTATGTAAGGTTTATTTATAGGAGCATCCAATAGAGAGTGTGAGGGACCACAGATCCGCCCCCCAAAGATGCGTAGGAGACGGGGGGAGCTCCAAGTCCCAGAGATCCAGGCGCGGCCCCAGAACATAGGAACCCCAAGGAGACTGCAACCAGAAAGGCCCCCGCCCCCCTCGAGAGGCACAGAGGGTCGCCCCGGGGGGCCACAACCAGCAGCCGGCAGAGTCCCGGGAGACATCAGCGGCAAGCCCACAGGCCCGCCCGCAGCCTCCCACCCCCTAGCCGGCCGAGCTCGGGACCCAGCGACCCGGGACCCAGGGGCGACCACCCCCGCCGGGGACCCAGACCCCACCAGGCAGCCACCGGGATTGACCAGGCAGGCGCCAAAGATCTTAAAGCCCCTGACCCGGGAGCCACGAACACTCAGGCAGACCAAGGCACCACACCCCACACCAAGTGTGGCAGGGGGAGGGGAGACGAAGATCTATATCATAAAAAGAAGTCCCAGGAGAAGAGAGGAGTCAAAGGCCCCACATGCCCCACACAGTCACACACTCCCTCCCTCATGCTCACACATGCACATTCAACCAAAGACTTACAAAAATGCACGCCGGACACCCACTCATGCTCCCCATACACACCCTATTCACTCTGATCCCGGTACTGCTGCACATTGGGTACAACGCATCACCGGTTACCAGAGTTTGACCCTTGGGGTGCTGATGAGTAGGCTCCCCCGCCCAACGCTGAGCACAGCAACCCACCACCCCAGACCCACACCGGACGGCCAGATCTCCCTCCTAGCCTCCAGCCCCAGGAAGCCAAGTGACAACACAGGTGTGCTAAGACCCCTAGTCTCCCTCCGCCTGCTCCAATATAGTGTTGTGTGTTGATGAGGTGAATTCCATGGCTGAGGTGAGCGGGCAGTGCGGGCATTGTCTGGCCTATGCCAGCTGATGCCACCACCCCACCCCACTTGCACCCACAGCCCTCGGCATCTAAGTGCAGTTTAAAATTGGAAGTGAGCACCGGCACTCGGGAGGAGGCTGAGAAATTCCCCTGCCAAGTGCCGTTGAATGTGCTCACTCCCAAGGCCCTAAGTGTGTGTTTGCGTGGAATGTCTTCGGTGGACGTGGATAAGGTGCAAATAAAATTGGGGGGCAGGTTGCCACAGGAATGGGGAAATGGAGTCCATACCCGCATTGCCTGACTTGTACACCCCCCCAAGGTCCTATGTGCATGTTTGTGTGATGATGTGAGGGAGCAAGAGGAGAAAAATATATGGGGATGGGGAGGAATGGCTGGTTGGGCTTAGCCCTCCAGGGAGCCAGCTCCCCCACTGGCCCCAATAAGCACCTCTGTTGTCAAATTGACACCCAGGGCATGAAGACCCCAACCCATCCTGCCAGGGCCCAAAGCAGCAGCATTGCAGAGCCTCATGGAGCCCCAGGGCACCAGCTCAGCCCCACCCCAGCCCATCCCTGCATTTGCACAACTTCCAGAATATAAACGACATAGGACATCCCGGTAAGGTTGGGTCCTCCCCCTCCTGGGCCTACCCCTCCCCTGTGATGAGACAGCAGAGGAGCCAAGGTCTACCAGAGGCCGCCGAACCCGGGCCAAGCACTGCTGCATGTGCCCGCCTCCTTCCCAGCAGCATACATGCCAGGACCCGACCCCCAAGGCCCCGCCCAGATCCCCACACGGAGCCGGCCACCCCCACACCCCGAGCCCCCAGGCCCCCACCCAGGGGAAATGCAGCCGCCAGGCAGTGACCCATGGCCGCCGCCAAGACCCCCAAGGGGCCCCACTCACACCCACCAGTAGTCCACCCCCCGAGGCAACCCAAGCACCCCCAGAGGGGGGCAAAGGCCCCCCAGTCCCAGACACCCCCAGTGAACCCACCTCCAGGGAACATACGGATACTCCAAATTCAGACCCCCCCCCCCCCCCCCCCCCCCCACACACACACACACACACACACACACATCATCCCGCAGGACAATATCAATGGTCATCGCTATGTGATGGAACC